GCTTTTAGTGACACCAATCTTTATCTGATGGGTGATATATTTCCAGGTACCAATGAGTTTCCAAAGTGCTGGTGTCACTAAAAGCTAGAGGTAGATCAATCATATTGTTCAAAGAWGAAAAAATGCTCACTCTAAGTTCTCTCTTTCCTTCAGTTATAATCTTTCTGTATATGACAGCATCTTATGTACAGATGTAGACTTAGGAAGGAGGAAGGCAATCCCAAAGCATCTAATCTGACTCCTCTATCTTAAGAGTGAAAAGCCTCGTTGCCCATAACATGCTACTGTGGGTTTTTTTCTGCTGTGCTTTGGTAAATCCCAGGGAGTCTCCTAGGGAAGGATGACTGTTGTGTGCTGTGATTTCGAGGAAACTCTAGGTCTCTGAACGCACTAACTTAATGCAGTCTAGTTCTTTTGGTGAGAAGGTGCTCTAGTTGAGATGTGGGCATAGRTTTGAGTGGAGCACATGACATGCTTCCTGGGGAGGTGGATGAAGGCTACTTACTCATGTGCATTCCCAATCCTCATAAAACTGGCACAGATGGTTTTTTTAAAAAGTCAGAGGACATATAATCATTTCATAAGAAACACCAGGTCAACGTGATTTGGGGAATTTTTCAATATTGATCCAGGATATTGTCAGAAACATTTTATGCTAACCCTGCCATGTAAGCCTTTAAACTGAGTAATTTCACCATATAAAAAAACTCAAAAAGCTTAATGCCAAAAGACCAAACAACACAATCAATAAATGGGCAAAGGAGCTAAACAGACACTTCTTAAATATGAATGGTCAGCAAATATTTGAAAAAATGTTTCATAGCTGTAGCAATTAGAGAAATGCCAACTAAAACTACACTGATATTTCATCTCACTCCAATCAGAATGGCAACTATCAAGAATACAAGTAGCAATAAATGTTGGTGAAGATGTGGGGGGAAAGGCACACTCATACATTGCGCGTGGGACTATAAATTGGTGCAATTTACAATCTAGAAAGCAGTATGAGGTTCCTTAAAAAATTAGGAATGAAATCACTATTTGACCCAATTATTCCATATATATATATATATATATATATATATATATATATATATATATATCTCCAAGGGAGACAACATCAGCCCACTACAGTGACACAGCCTCATCAATGTTTATAGCAGCTCAATATCTGCTATGAAACCAATAGTTAAACTATAAAACCAACCTAAGGTGTCCTTCAACAGAGGAAAATGGTATGTATGCACAATGGAATATTACTCAGCCATAAGGCAGAACGACTTTTGCCATTTGTGAGTAAATGGATGGATCTGGAGACTATCATGCTAAGTGAAGTAAGCCAATCCCCAAAACCCAGTGGTCAAATGTTCTCTCTGATGTGTGGATGCTAACACACAATAAGGATGGAGAACAGATGTTCAGTGGATTAGATAAAGAGGAATGAAAGGAAGGGAGGAGGGACAGGAATAGTAAAGACAGTGGAATAAATCTGACATAACGTTCTGATATACATAGATGAAT